CCCGGTTTTTGTGTGTGTGTGTGTGTGTGTGTGTGTGTGTGTGAGTGTGCTGGAGATTCTTCTTAACAGAGTTCTGCATCGTGGACTTTGGACATTGAGGAAACAGATCACCACTCTCACCCCTTGTTTTGCAAATGAAGAAAACAAAGCCAGGAATAAACGACTTCCTTGAGGTCACACAGCCAGGTAGAGCAGAGCTGGGACTAGCACCCAGACCTCCGACTCCAGGGTGTGCTCCTGAGTCCTCAGAGGGGGGACAGCCCTGGGCTGCTTTATCTTCAGCTGTCTCTGGCTTGCCTCAGCCGGGGCCGGCCACACAGCACGAGGCTCTGGCTGCTGACCCGTGGCTGGCAGTGCTCCCCACGGGCTTTCCTGGTTCTGGGGTAGCTGGAGCTTCTCCAGGTGGAGTTGAAGAGGGGAACGGGAGACCGACTGCTTATGCATATCAGTGGAGCGGGACCCAAGTTCAGAAGTGGCGACAAACTAATTCCCAAACAACTCGAAGGACAAACAATAAAAATTCCCGTTCTTCAGACACAAACTGAAATGCCAGTTAGGGACGGTACAGAACTAAAATGGAACATGTAGACTCCGGGAGCGAACACAGACGTTTTGCTTTAAGGTGGGTAAATATCCCGGGCGTCCTGGAGAAGGGCTGTTGTTAGGGACATCTGCAAATGATGGAAGTGATCTTGAGCGTCTAACGTGTCTGCAGTGATTTCTTTACCTGCTTCTCTATTTTTGGTTTTGAAATGTATTTGCCTCCAGTACTCAAGAAAGAAGGGATGCTCTGATGTCCCGACTAGCCAGATCCAAGGCTGAGATGCTGTCCAGCTCAGACTGGACCCCACAGTGAAAGTCCAATATTAATTCCATGCCCCCAATAATAGAGGAGCAATGGAGTCTGGTTCTTTCTGAAGAAATTGGGCCAAGTGAGCCACGGTCAACAATATTTCCCACGTGCTATCACTTGCAAGATCTTCTCAGACATTGAAAGGAGAGTGACCGCAGACTAACTTGACCACAAGGTCCCAAAGCTCAGGACTGAGCGACAGAGGCTGAAAAGGAGATGCTGACCACAACCGTTGTGCTGGGTTTTGGAGACTCTGAGCCTGTATGTTTTCCTACCTTTATTAAGCATCTATTGTATACTAGAGACTGTAGACACAAGGGACTGTACAAAGAGCAGACAGACAAGACCCCGTTCTGGTGGGGGAATAATAAAAATAGTCGTGGACATTCACAGCTCTCACTGGGTGCCTGGCCAGGCTCCGGGCACCTTTTCACAGATGAACTCCTCAAAGTTCCCAGTGAGCCCATGTGGAAGGGACCAATGGGCACGAGGCCACTGACATCGAGAGAGGGGGGGTGCAAAACAGACTCGGAGAAGGACCACGGGACACAGAGAGGTCAGTGCTTTCCTACCAAAAGGGCCCACTCTGGGTAGGAGCCAGCCAGGAGCCCGGAAAGGGGACATTTAAGCCGACGCCTGGTGGGTTCTGAGAGCCCCGTTACTGGACCTAAGCAAGCAAGCTGGGACCCAGCCCCATCCTTCCGTTCTTTGTGCTCTGGGTCAGGCTGGAGGTTCCTGGTAGCAAATCTCTTTCTACCCTTTCCTCAGCCTGCCCCGCCCTGGCCGGTGGCCACAGTCACCCACAGGCACTTAGTCCACTCCAGGACAAGTTTGCCCATTTTTACATGTTTTCATGAGAAGTTCACTTTATGCTGTCAGCTTAGGAGTCCAAAAGTAAATAAACGAGGCTGAACAATGATTAAAGTTTGTGATCAGCTTTTTAAGGGAAACTGCTGCAAAACTTCATGTTCAAAAGGATTTAAATAGATGTGCAGGGCTCTGAGCTGACTTTCTGAGCTCTTTGGAGTGTGGAAGGTGGACCTGGTCGTTGCTAGAGCCCAGCCACCTGCCAGGCCCTTAGACATCTGCTGGAGCCTGCCCAGTCCAGGCTGAGAAGTCACCGTGTCTGGGGCCAGAGCTGGGTTCTGCCCACAGAACTGTGGCCAGCGGAGCGGCAATAGCGCTCACCCCCTTTCCTGTGACGGTGCCACAGTTGAGGGTCCCCAGTAAGCAGGACTGCTCTGCAAGTGGGAGGGTTTTGGAAGGAGTCTGTTGGTGGAGGTGGGGGGTCCTGTCTCCCAGGAGAAGGCGGTGATGGCTGCAGGGACGCTGGCACCTTCCCGCCCCCGCCTGAGCTGCCAGACCAGCAGCCCTGGACCTTGGACCCTCTGCAAAGCGCGCAGGGCCAGCCCCGCTTTGGGGACGAGGGACTAGCGCGCCCTTCAAGCCACCGCGTCCACGCGGTCTTGCGCCCGTGTCTCCTCCCGGGCAGACACTCGGAGGGACCCGATTGCAACCGGCGAGGGCGGCCCGCGAGGCAGTGGGGCAGCGGGTGGCCCGACTTGGGGGTGTCGCTCGGCTCAGGGGCGGGGAGGGCGCCGGGAGGGTGGGGCGGGCTGGGCGGGCCCCGCGCTCCGGCGCTGCCTCCCCGGAGAAGGGAGAGGCTACGAGAAGGTGCCGGGTGCCAGGGCTGGGGCTCCCTCCAGCGGGCTCCCCAGCTCCCTTCTCCCCTCCCCGGGATCTGAAGGCTGCTGGGTCATCTGGGCATCTGGGGCCCCAACACCGAGCCCCGCCGCCTTCGGGCGAGTCTGCAGGCCGGAAAGGGGCCTTTTTGAAAATCATCTCAGTGCAAGGGCTTCAGAAAAACAGCAAGAGCAGGTCCCCCAGAATCCAGACTTGATGACGAACCGACTGACGGTCGTTGAGGACTGTCAGAAACCAGCAGCGGTTGACCGTCAGCCTGTGGTGAGGCTGGAGGCACGAGGGGTGGGGCGCCAGGGACGCCCTGCTGGGGGGTGAGGGACAGACCCAGAGGGCTGGGTCCAGCCGGAGATGTGGGTGTCGGTCCAGAGACCGTGGCATCAGCACAGCCCCTGACCTTGCAAAGCTTCTCTCCTTCGTCGACCCCGACGGGCCTCTCTCCCCCTCTCCTTTCCCTGCTTCAGGTCACCCACGAGGTGAGCAGTGTGGCTCGGTCGTAGGTGTGTGTGCGGGACGCGCCGGGTTGGCAACTGGCCCACACCCGCAGCCACCAAGCCAGGAGTCTGAAGTCCAAACGGCTCTGAAACCCCAAAGTTTTAGCCCAAGTTTGACACCAAAACTCATTTGGTGGCAAATCCTGTCCTGAACTGACATGAGGCTGGTTTTGTCTTTATCTGTCCTACTTCGGGGGCCTATTTATAGGTTTCCTGCAGGGAAAGTCTCCAGACCCACCCACCCAGGTCCCTATTTGCACCACACCCTCTTTGTAAAACCTGAAAAATTCTGATCTGGACCCGTGTCGGCTCCTGGGGTGTGGGGTAAAGGCTTGTGTGCCTGTTTTCCTGGGCAGGGAAGCTGGAAGGCCACACTCCAACCCGGAGGATGCCCTCTGAGCCGTGCCGTCCCTCCCATCCCTTGCAGAGGGCGCTTGGGGCGGGCGCCGCAGGGTGATAGATGCGCTATCGTAGGCGAGAGCTTCGCCGTCTGCTCTGCTCCCACCTCATCTTCTCATTAAGAGCAGTCATCTTCTTGCTACATTTTAAAGTTTACCAGTTTAGGTGACTCTGTCCACGTGCAGATGCTGGGCTCAACCTTGGCTTTAGCCTGGCAGTGACAACATGGCGCAGGTCGGAAGGACCTCCCCAAGGTGGAAAGGGCCAGGGAAGCAGCTGCCAGCTCAGCCCTTGGTGGTGACCTCCTGACTTAGCTTGGTGCTGTCCACAGGGGGTCTCCTCTGCCATCAGTTTCTGTGTCCCCTCCCGTCCAGAAACCAGGACAGCCACCCTCCTTCCCTCAGTCTCTGGGTCCTCATCTCTGGAGCGGGGTCTGAGGACACAAGGACCTGTTCTGGCTGTCACCCCTCAGTCCAGATCCCAGTGGCTCCTGGGGGAAGGGCTGGGTGGGATAAGAAGGGGTGCACTGCTGCCTTTGTGGGTTAGGTCCCAGCACCTAGAGACCTGCACACACAGAGGCACCGAGCTTGCCGACTGTGTGCCCGTGGGGGGGCCCTCCTGGCTGCTGGTACCCCCTCCCTGGAGAAGCAATGCCACAGCCAGCGCGTGGTTGTCACAGCACTCCTCTTCGCCTTGGTAACTGGGATGCTGGGGAGGCGTGTGTCGCTCTAAAAGCAGCGCTATCAGGATCTGCGGGCTCGTGTGCACGGTGGAGGCATCCTCGGAGGTAGGAGGACCCCGCTGCCTTGCTCAGCTACACCCACCTTCCCTCTCTGTCCCCAGAGGCACAGATGAGAGACAGGGTGGATTTGTTTCTGAGCGGGGCCTGCAGGGGAGGGAGGCCTATGATGCACCGAGAGCAGCCCACGGTGGACGCTGCCATGTTTCCACGGTGCCTGCTCTGCCCCATGACTCTCAGTTCCTAAAGTCGAGTGTAGACTTGGAGCTTCTCCAGGGCACTGCTGGGCTCCAGGGCCTCTAGGTGAGCAGCCACCCTCTCTCAAGGTCTCTGTGGCTTTACAGTCAGTGAAGACATTCCTGTCCCATCTGAGCTCCCTAGATGCAGAGTTTGTGCCCACTCACCCCTTAACTCTGCCCGGCCTGGGCACCCCGAATGGAGTGCAGGAGAGTGGGGCCTTCCAGAGCCGGGAGTCCAGCATGAGAACATCCTCCTCTGTGCTCCAGCCTTTCACATCTGTTCACAGCTGGAAAAATGACCAGCCAGGCGAGAAATGACACGGGTTGTGGGGGAGCCTAGTCCCCTCTCGCTCCCTGGAGACGGCAAAGGCTGTCTATCATGCTGCCGCTTCAAGGGGAGCTTCGGGCTGGGGGTGGGGGGCTTACTCCCGGCTGTGACTTCTTGCCCCAAGCAGGCCTGGGACTGGGGTGGAGGGAAGGCGCACCTGCCTGTGCCAGCGCCCTGAGAGGAGCAAGGGGCGGGACCCAGGAAGCAGGTGTCCTTGTGGCCTCGTTCCAGGCAGGCTAGATGGCAGCTGGGCTAGCCCAAAAATAAAGCCTAATTCAAATCCCTTTAGATCTGACCTTCACAGTGACTTCCATCTGCATTTTTATTTGTGCCTTACTAGGGGCCAGGACTTAATTTAATTTCGTCTTACACTTGTTTACCAAAGCGACTGCCCTGTCCCCAGCCCAGCACCAGGCCATCCAAGGGGACCAGTGGGGAGCAGTGATTGTCTGTATGGCCTGCAGCTGCTTCTCTGGCCCAGGATGAGGTGCCAAAGCGGTCGGACAGGATAGATCTGGGGTTTGCAAATTTTGCTTAACTAAGGAACATTTGGTTTAAAGTCAACTTCTTCCAAAGGCCAGTCTATGAAACAGACAAAAGAAAAGTGGCCCTGACTGAAAGGGGAGGGGGGCTTGGCTGCCTCCCAAGCCCAGGCAGCCCTGCAAGCTTCTGGGACCTGCCTGGGAGTGAAGTGCAGGACGTGTGTCCAGGCAGGACGCAGGGCAAGGCCGTGTCCCCCACTCCACTGCCTCCCGCTGTTTCACCAGAGTTGCGTGTTTCAAACGTGAGTCTAATCACTTGGCTCGAAGTGCAGGACGTGTGTCCAGGCAGGACGCAGGGCAAGGCCGTGTCCCCCACCCCACTGCCTCCCGCTGTTTCACCAGAGTTGCGTGTTTCAAACGTGAGTCTAATCACTTGGCTTCTCGTTTGGAGCCCTGGTGTGGACCCAGATGGAGATCTTGGACCCATCCCTGCGCACAGGGCCCTCTGCAGTCACCCCCAACACCTGCAGTCCCCACTGAGCCCGCACTGCCACAGCCCATGACAGGAACGCTGACTGTCCCCTCCTACCTCCCCCGACACTCAAGC